TTATCCCAGGGAAAGGAAGAGGAGGATGAATGGTGGTGAAGACTGGTTGCCATTTTGCATCTACGATAAGGGATTCACTGATAGATTATCACCTTCATACTGGTCTGATTACTACTCCAAAATCCAAAGAGATCCAGAAAATACTGATCTTGCACCATGGGTCGCCAGATTCTACGCAAGGTAGCCCAGGTCACTTTGTCTTCGATTATTTATTCTTGACCCTCTTATTATGATCTCTGGAGTATAATATGTTCCAGTGATGAAGAGATACACACTTGGTTGTCTCTGTTGAGAGGAAACATCGCCTCATGGGGCTAACTGTGGGTGGAGTTCCTTTCACAACCTCTGTATCAGCTTGACACAGAATATTAAGACATTTGAAGGAACTATTTGAATTGCTCCTATTTGGAAATAAAGAAAGAAGGAATCTTAGACTAAAAAGGACTCTTCATAAAGCCCTCCATACTTGTCTCCCAAAACTCTGAAAAGGTTTCATGGCCTCTTCTCGTCTCAGATTGTTGTCTTCTGACAGTGGAGTGTGGACTTCACATGGCTGGAGACAGAATTCTTCTGATAGCAATCTCGAGTTAATTGAACTGGAAGAGAGAGTTGAGAACAAAGTGAACAGAGGACAGTGAAGGTTAAGGTCGAGTGAAGTAGATTCAACTTGAGCATTTCTTTGCTAATGAACTGATCCATCGGTGGTTTCGGAACCATTGTCAGGTCTAGGCCATGGTTGCTAGTGATTGAATTCTGGAACCCGGAGACAAAGTAGAAAGAGTGATTGAATCAACCTCCCCCAGTTTCTCAATCCAGTACTACTGGGAGCTTTAAAGAAAGATGAGATACCTCCTCATCAGGGCTCCACATTCCACTTGCATCTCTGCACAACAATAGTTTGAACTGGATCATACATCCATCAATTATTCTCAGAATTTTCTTGGATTTTCTGTTGTTTAATTAGATGGACATGCTAGCATTAAATATGAAGGAAGCAGTAGCAAGCCACAAGGCATGCAGCTCTGACCTCCCTTTGCCCATGTGATGGCCAAAACTTGCCACATACCATAATATTGTGAACATAGGAGCATAAACAAAGTGAAAGAGGAATCAAAAGTAGCACTCCCACAATCTTTGTCCGTCCTATAAAGCTCTGTAACGTCCACTATAGCCTCAGAGTTAACCCAACCAGTCTCATTCTATCTCACCTCTCCTTCCGAAGGATGGACTAGAGGTCGCCTGCTCCTTGTCAGGTGCGGTGCTGTCTTGCGTCCCTCGAAGGTTTGGGAATCTTATTCCATTTGCTCTCTGTGAGGTGGAGTGGTGATGGCAGCCGCAGGAGAGGCTGGGACGGCCACAGGAGGAGGGAAAGGGAGGTTTAGAAGCCTCTACTGGAGGCTCAGAGCCGGAATAAGGAGGCAGCTGGGAAGAGCAAGAGAGAGCAAGCAGCGTTTCAGCTTCCATTATGATCCCTTCAGCTATGCGCTCAACTTCGATGATGGCTGCTCTGGCTTCCTCTCGCTGTAGCTCCTAGTTTCTCTTTATTGTTCTGAGAGATGTATAGCGACATATCTCTGGAGTAATGGGTGTTTCTGGCTTCTTTGTAGCTGCGTTGGAATGTAGGGAAGCAGAGGTGAAGAAAGATATCATGGCAGCTCATCAATGTTGATGTTTTAGTAGATAATCATCTTTCGTTTATAGATTTCACCTCGTTCACTGTCTGCTTCATTGGATGAATGCTCTTTTTGAACAGTTGTGCTGTTAGTGTTTTTGGTGTTCATGAGGAGATGTCTTAGTTCTATTCGATTCCTCTTCCAGAACAAATGTAGGATGTAATCTTTCTTTCGAAGAAGAACAAAACTTGAGACGTTCTTGTAGCAACCAAATCTGGCTCTGCTGCTGCTTGACAGATGGAATATAGAAGGGGCCATTATGGCTTCTTTGATTCCATCAGTCTGCTGCTTCTTTTCTCTTCAGTACAACTGTATTTGAGGAAGCTCAAACGCACCATAAGCGAAGCATTCATTGAGCATCTTGGATCCGGAAAAGAGAACAAAGAAGGAACAGAGGAGTATTACTGCTGCCTGTATACCTCGCCAATTTTACCAGCATTGCCTCTCCAGTGAACGAAAAAGAACGATGAAGAAATAGTGTTACCTCGGAGAAGATGAGGAAGCAAAAGAGTATGGAAATAAGAAAAGAAAATTAGCATTTGTGCATGGATTCAAAAGGATACAAGCCTCAAGGAGAACTTGTAGACTGAAGTGCAATGTTTTCTGGAGGCTTAAGAGCTTCTTCTTTGTGCTTAGAGCTGGCTTTTTGATGGCTGTGTTTCCTGGTTGGATGAATGAGAAGGTCAAGTGTGTGCTGCTACTTGATTTGAGCTAAAATGCAATCACTCGAAAGTACATCAAATCAATGACAATAAGTTAGATATAATATCATTAGATCATTCGATCGTTATAATCTGTCTCATATCTTGCTTTTCCGTCAATCTATATACCTAAGTTGAATTGGTTCACTCCATTCATATGGCTGTAGATCCTCAGCTCGTTCGATCAATTGACAGGCTTTAATTGAAGAAGACTGCCACCAAAAGACAAAGTTTTCAATGAGGAAACAGAGTCTTACCAAAAGACAAGCATGCTTTGACAAAAAAGAGCAGCAAAAAAAGACAGCCTATTTTGACTTATGTGTCTTCCAAACTTCTGACACACAAACAAACAGTGGACTTCTGATCACTTACTCGGATATCTCAATTCGATATGTTGCCATTTAGCTAAAAGATCGAATTTTGTTTTACCCACACAATGCAATTCTGCTGATCGAAAGGAAACTTTCTATCGAACACCAACACAGGTGTCGTGGGGAATTGGCTAAACCATCTCACGCCGGGAGGTGGTTGATCGATCGGAGAAGACGACGGAGGATAAATTTAGTTCTGGTTTGATGTTTGCAGTTTCGAGGCTTGTTGTTAAGGTTGTCAATGTCATCTGTCGGATCTTATGGGATCTCTCGCGAACTTAATGTTTGATGTAACGCCTGGTAATTGAATGAAGGTGTTTATATCGAAACTTATATTCTTGCAATCTTCTACGAAGAACAGTTATATCGATTTATATTCATGCATTGATGTTTTGACCTTTTTCCTGCATTAATAGATATATTCTGAGTTGGGGGAGAGGCCGAGTTCGACCGGGTTTGATGCGGTGCGAGTTACGAGTTGGACTGAACTCGGGTGAACCATTACTTACAGTAATTACCTGTCTTGCACTTTTCCAAATCATTTATCGAATTAAGATCCAATATAAGTTTCGATATATATAATTCTTGCAAGATATGGCTTAGAGAGTCAAACCAGAACCAGCAAACTTCTCCGTCGTCATCTCATCCGATCGATCAGCCATCTCGGGCGTAGAGATGATTCAGCCAATCCCCTACCAGACCGCGTCTGAAGAAGGAGCTGTTGTCCACCGTCCAATCCCCCAAGTCCGTGGTGCCGCTCCTGTTCACCTCCAAATTGCTTAAGCTCTCCATGGTACACAGCCGCACGATGCCATCGATCACCCCTTCCTTCTCCTCATCCTCCGAGAAGGGGCGGCCAAGGAACTCCGCCAGCCGCTTCAGCTGAGCTACGGTGTCCTGCTGCAGCTCATCGTACTTCACGAACAGTATCTTCTTCGGCCTTTCCAAGTGCGCCTTCCAGTAATCGAGCACATGGTCCCAGTACGGCCCGAAGATGGAGAAGCCCTTGCAGAAGTTGTCGAAGGCCTTCTCGAGTGTCCATGGCTCCAAGTTAGCCTCCGTCCTGAATCTGTTGTTGAAGTGCCGTAAGGATATGAAGTTGTCCTTGGGGTATGTACACGACTCTGCAGCCTGACTCCGTCACCGACGCCGGTAGGGACTGGAAAGGGATGTGCGTGGCGAAGGGTCGCGGCGGTGGCAGCTTGCTCAGGTCAGGTACTCGGTTGTTGGTGTAGATTTGGTGTTCAAGGAAGGGGTTGTACACATGGGGATTGCAGGACTCCAAGGCATGTCGGGAGTCGACGCAGGAACCACGGTTTATGGTGGAGAAGACGAGGGCTTTGATCCATATGGTGGCTGACTTGGGGATGGTGGCGACTAGTACGTCGGTAGGGCGAGCTTTGAAGTATTTTTGGGCGACCATGGTGCCTACTATGCCCGTCAGAAACCCGTGCCAGCCGTCGTAGCAGTGGATTGGGTTGCCATTGCCGGAGTCTACGCTTGGTAGTGCCGACACGAGTTGTGTGTAGTGTTGATAGGTCCGGTGATGGACTTATTCTTCTTCCTCCTCGATTTTCGATGGAGACAGGGAATTGTAAGCGTCGGCCATGGAAAACGCGATGAGGCCACTCAGGCTGATCTACCGATTTCCAAAATCTTAGCATATATGAGAATCAAACTATGTAGATCCAATTCATGATATATATTTTTTATATTAGATATGGTCTTGTCCATTATACATGTGCACGAGAAGGAATCTCTCCATCCATTATTGTCATTAAGCTGCAATGACATAGAGATTGATCGACACCCATCGATTACAGTCCAAAAAAAAGAATGAAAACAACAGTACGCAAGTTAGTGAAGGACACAAGTAGAAAAAGAAATAGAAATGGTGAAACTCGAAACTACCCCATCTCTTGTCAGGACGATGCAATTATTGTCCTTCAAATTTTGTTTAGTATGGATATAAATATTTGGACTATTTGGCAATTGTCATTTCTGGTCCGTCCAATGCATAAGGAAAATGTGACAGGTTTATGATCCATTTTCTTGAGAAAATATTTTAAAATTAAAAACATTCTCCTATCTTGAAAAAATTTAAAATTTTCACATGTAATAAATTATAAATATACTTGAGTTAACCTCAAGTGAAGGATAGCTATACACTCTTTTACATAAAATATTTTTTCTACAGATTTAATCTTAATAACTCAATGATTAGTATACGCTAGAATATAAATAAGCTTAATTTGTATGTACTGATACATCCAAGTTTTGTCTCATCAACAATGGATAAAGATTTAAATTAATTTTCAAAAATTAGATGAGCGTATTACTATTAAAGGACTAGCATCGGATGTATCATAATATGTTCTGATTCTCTAAGTCTTATATTGAATACATCGAAATAAGAGAGAATTTAAATTAACTTAGTAGGAGAGGTTGTCTGAATACTTTAGTTATTATTTTGTTTGTTTGCTCTAGCAAATCATAGTCATCAGATTTTTCTTACATTTTTGCTCGTGTCATATGATTGAGCATACCGATAAAGTAATCCGAAAACAATGATGGAAACATGATATTTCTATATTACTCAGAGATCTTAAGAAAACATAGTGACTAAGAAAGTGTTCACCAACACAAAACGATCTTTTTAAATCATAAAAAAAAAGGGAACATTTTATTTTGGTGATAAAGATGTTCTTGTGGTGAACAACATTATGAAATAACATTTCAGTAAATGATTTCGTCATTCATTTCCGGTTCTGTGATCTCCCATGCATTCAGTTCGGAGAGCTTCACATCCTGTGCACCATTGTTGAACACAAAGAGATGAGCTTTTTCTCCTATAGCCACACTAGGATAAACCCTTGATGTGATACATGTCTTGCCTCCGGCTCCAAAACTCTCCACAACAGAGTGATCAATCTTTAAAATAATAAATAAAATTAAAATATTAATTTTGAATATATATATAAGTTTATACTGTTTCAATAAGGACTACAAGAAATATAATGCATAAAGATATATACAATTCAAACATACCAAACTTCTAAGAGATATCTTTCTTGTTTTTGTAACATCGATGTCAACGAAGCCGGCAAAAGTGGGTTTGTATGTACTTTCCCTCTTCGATGATCTGGTGATTTAAAGACACAAAAAATTAGATAACATAAAAGAAAAAAAAACATTTAACCATTGTATCTCTAGATCATTATTATCCAATATTCGATGCACAAAGAACAAGATGAAGATGTTATTTTACCAGCTAAGTTTTTTCTAGGAATTTTCCTACCACCCAAGGATGTTTGCATAGAGGATTAAGATTCTTTTATGTAGCTCAAGATTTAATGTTTTGGTCCGAATAGCTTCAAGGCTTATACAAAAAAGAATTGCAAAATAGATGAGATCATAATCGTGAGAAATTGAGGTCAAAACCAATGTAGATATTCCCAGGCTGTTATTTATTAAGCTAATTGTACACCATAAAAAATGAAAAGAGTTTAGTTCAAGAAATGACCTGGTAGGATCATGGCACATGAGGACCATATACTTGCTTTGAGCTTTGAAGATCCTGAAGAAGACAGCAGTTCTCTCTTCTCGGTTGGCTGAGGCCAAAACCAGCAGTCCAAATGGCCCAACCCCACCCTTGGTTTCTGCTGTCTTTTTGGCGCAGAATGCTTCAGCATCGTCGACATAATATGGATCAAACTCCTCAGCCTTTTCTAGACTTGCAACATCAAACGTCACCTCCACATCCGCCTATTGCAACATAAAGAATTCCAAACAGAGTTACCAAAGAGAATAACTATGGCTAAGTCTATTTCAAGAGGAAACTTGCCTGCGCTGTTTGTATTTCTTTAATTTCCAAGAAACCACCACTTGGGATGTTCTTGTTCTTGACAAAGATGTGTTTGTCTCTAAGGGTTTCGAACTCCTCAATTGGCCATTGGACAAGCTGTCGTCCACTGTCATCTAGCCAGATAGATCTTGGAATTGCCTAAAAATAATCAAAACAATACAAAGCCAAAAGAAGAAGAAGATAACGATCATTCAACACTAACGCAAAAACCCAGTAGTAAACCATTAAATCTTATACTCACTTGAACTCCTGCCCAACCCTTGTCCTTGTCGGTATACGCACTGTCCGATTCATTCGCCCAACCCCACAGTATCCTCCTTTTCTTAGCAGGATCATAGAACGTCTTGGAGGCGTAAAAGTTCCCGTAATCATACCTTAAACCAGTATGATCATCCGTCGATGTTACATCCGGCACGTACTTATCCATATAATGGAAGTACTTCCCGAGAGTATAGTACTCGTATCTCGTCGCGTCCAAGCTAACCTTCAACACATGCTTCACTCCGTCACCGCACGCAGACGTGTCTAACCCTTGCCTTCCCTTCGCCGCCACCGGGAAGAAGTCCGGGCACTCCCACATGCCGATATCCTTAGAGGAGTGCAGCGGGTGCTTCGCCTTGATCCAGTGCACGAAATCTTTGCTCCTGTACAAGATCGCCATGCCTCTTCTGTCTCTCTTGCTGCCTACAACCAGAGTCCAGTGCTTGTTCGGGGCGTACCACGCCGTTGTTGGGTCTCGAAAGGCACTGGCGTTGACGCCAAGTTCCGGGGGTATCACTGGGTTGTAGTCCGGCTTAGTCCATTCCCGGAGGTAAGGGTCGGATAGGTTGGCGGGGAACGCGATGTTTTGGACTTGGCGTTGCTCAGGGTCGACGCCGGTGTACAGGATCACGGGCTTGTCGCCGGGAAGAACAGTAGCGGAGCCCGACCAACACCCGTAGATGTCGAATGGTTCCGACGGGTATATGGCGGGGGCGAGTGCCTTCCAATTGATCAGGTCCGTGGAGACCGAGTGGGCCCACACGATGTTGCCCCACACTGAACCGTATGGATTGTACTGGTAGAAGAAGTGGTAGATGCCTTTGTAGTACATAGGCCCTGCACGATTTTTACAGTTTGTTTTTAGCCTTCGATTTAAGGAAATCGATTAATTTATGTTATAATACACAAATTACAAACATACCGTTCGGATCTGCCCGTTGAAATCATTGAATTTGTTGACGGCGGTGTTCAAATAAGAAAAACAAAAAAAGAAATATAATGAGTAAGTAATCAGCAATTGCTACTAAAAACATAATTAGACGACAATTATAAAAGAATTAATACCTTAAGAATTAATAAAATCTTTTTTTTCCTTTTCTTATTTCATTCTATGCACATCCAAATGGGACTCTGACGTGGTAAGTAGAAGTGAAAGATGGAATTCAAGTGAAGAACTCAAGTATTACTCTAAATATATTCACCTTCCACAGAATGAAGCTTTACGATGTCTAGAAATAATAAGGATCTTACCATTGAGCCAATTTCTAGCGGATCGGAAGTGATATCTTGGTTTTAACTCGTCATTTACCAAGGCAGGTGAAACAGATTGAAGCTCTTCATACACTATATGAGATGGCTCCACAAACATTTTGTTCCTCTCCATGGAACAAAAGCACCAGTAAACACAAACCACAAATAGCCATGCTGTCCAAACTCGATTGGGTGATCCCATCCTCTAAATTCACAAGGAAGATGATTCGGGAGAGACCTCGAACCACTGATGTTGGGGTCGTGGAGTTGACAAGTCAGAAATGTCGAGACCAGCAGAAGGTCCCAAGGGGTTTATATAGAAGATGAAAGGATTGAGGGGTGGAGAGTATACATAAATATATATATACATATATGCGGAGGGAGAAGGTGATGATGCTGGATGTGAGAGGATGCGTTCATCATTTTCCCACTCTCCTACCTCCTAGGTTTCTGCCACTTCATGATATCTAAATATATTTGCATGAACACTGGCAATGATTCGGCAGCTTAGTCTTGCTCACATGCAATCCATCAGAGAGAGAATACATATCGCCGCCTTAAAACAGGCAGAATATGAATAAGAGAATTTGTTCATCATCCCAGATTGGAAATCGAGCTTCTTTCTTGACCTTTTAGAGGTTCTTTTAACGACCATCTATTTGAAAGTTTGTATCATCGGGTTTGAAGGCTTAATAAGATCATAATTCTGGAAGAATCTGCCCAAGTGCATAGACATGATGTTCAGATCCTAAAAAGCCCTTATCCAAACCATCAGGCTAATCATATTCAGACAAGAATGCTGCTCCGTAGACATGGAGTTGTTTGTATGCGTTGCCTTTGCTGTCAGAACTGGGTTTGAAGCTACGTAAATAATTGATCTTGCAACATTTCCTATTGGAAAATATAGCAAGCAAGACAATCATTGTACAAGTTAGTTCATGTAGCACTTGGTCATAGAAAGACGCATGAACTGCTGCTATAGCTTTTGTGACCTGTATCACTAGGATTTTATATTCCATGAGGTGGTCTATTTGTTAGCCTCATATTCGATGAGTGTCACGCCTCCTCTCATCCTACTTTATATCAGGGAATGATATGATAACGTATGTCAGTATATCATAAAGAGTATTCTATCAGTATGATCATATTCTGCTACACACATCCATCTCCAAGCACTGCACTCCACGTTGTCCCACGACCACCGTCGTTGTATAGAAATCTCTAACACCAAACTTTGCCATTAAAATATAGTAATCGCCATAATTATTCAGGACATGATGCGTAGCCTAATTAACATTTCCATCGACAAATCGATCTCAAACTTCTTGGCATTTTCGTCAAATGATATTCTTAAAAATTATCTTTGCGTTATCGTATATATAATATCTGTGTTGTGATCGTCGAACCACTAGCGCTTTTATTAGACTCAACTGCCTTCAAAGCTGAAAGCATACGATATCCGAAGCATAATGCATACATTTCAGATGCTGTGATCAAAGCAAAAAAGCCCATCTTTACAAATAAAACTCAAAAAACGAACAGTAAAAGCACACATCACAGTTCAAGCTAGCAGTGCAAATCAAACTTTAGTTTACATGAAAAGCATGGAAATTTTCTTTGTTGACTTAGGAGCGGTCGTCTTTACTAATCACTATACTATATTTATCTCACCTAAAAGTAATAGAATGAATAATTTTATATGAGTTAAATGGAGCAAAGATAAAATTAAATATTAATGGTTCTTCTTCATTTCATGACGGTGACATGAGGTATCGCGATTCGCGTTCATTATAGGTCAATAATATATTGAAGACAAATCATCTATCCATTGCGAATTGTTGACACTCAAGCTTAGCGTTTAAGTTGTTATTGATCATGAACTTCTGGCTGTACAGATTGAATCTGACTCATCAATATTATATGACATATTAACCAAAGACTCGGATTTCCTAGTACATTTAGACATTGATACGTGACATCAAAGTCCTTTTGTCTCAGCTAACATCGCACATGATTTTATACTATTTTCATCAATGTAATCAAGTAGTATGTTAGGCTGCCTATAACGCTCATGTAGATAATTATACATTTTTATGGGTGGATACCTTCCCCCTTAGTTCGACCTCCAAAGATCCTTTTATACATCTTTAACAGTCTAATAATTATTTTTGACAAAAAAAGTATGTATCTAATGATCGAATGATAGGATAACCATCAATCAAATCCGTTTATAGATTTATCAGTATTCACCTGTCAAGGGTGCCTTTTTCATATGTGGAGTGAAAAGAATTATTACGATGCATTTCTATGCTCCCTACAACTCATATCTTTAGATGCAAACTCTTAATAGATTGCTCACTATGCATGTGCATGAATATTTTCTTTGTGATAAGGAAAGAAATTTCCAAAATCACATATTTTTTAGTGTGAGTTCTCTACCAAAAATTGGGAAGTGGTCACTCAGAAATTGAATGTATCATTTCATTATGTTTCCCAATGATATACTAGAGTTTGGCTCAAGGACGGAGAAGATATGCTCATGGAGAGTGCCCTTAATCCTAATAGGAATAATCTTGTATAGGTTTCGGTTGATGTGGAAGGCCAACATGATTATTGCTTATCCATTGGACTGCACATCTCCTGAAGAACAATCCTGGGAAATGTGTTAAATGAGGGATGGATGAAACTAAACGCTGCCATTTTGGAATGAAGGGTTGCAGTTTGCTTCTTTAAGTCAATTTTGATAGAATAGTAATTTACCATTTGACAACAAAAAAAACATAGATACGATGAAAAGAATAGAAGATAAAAATAATTATCGAAGAGCAATATGTCCCTCTTCTATTTATATAGATTAGGAGGAAAAATTTTTCAAACAGAATAGAGGATTTTCCTCAACAAACCAGAGAGAGTTATAGTTGGGGATTTAATTGTTGCTATATATATTATATCTCACTCGTTCCTGAATCAACTTATATGCTGCCTTAAATTGTTGGACAATATAAAAAATTTTAATTTTAGAAAAAAAGAGAAAGTCAAATTCTCTTCAATATTTAGTTACGCTCCGAATAGATGAATATACAGGAAAGGATAGAGAGAGAAAGCTAATCTTTATGGATGTGGGATTTCAAAAAATAAAAATAGATTTTTCCCTTCCAACAATTAGGTTTTTTTAAATTTTTATCATAAATTTATTTTTGGGTGAATTTTTTTATATTTTTTCAAAAAACTACCTCTGTTTTTATTTTTCGAATTATGCTCCTATTTAGAATAATAACTAAAATATCTCTCACCAAACCCTATAGTACATTTTCTATCAGTTGTAGTGTTTTGGCTTATTATAGTATTTTGATCACCATAATAAATTTATTTAAAATATACTTTAAAATATTATAAATAATAAAATAAACTCATAATCTTAAATAAACCAAATTTAAGCTTAAAAAATTTATACCATAATAGCCTATGAGCAATGATAATCAAAGAGATATAATATTATATTATTTTATAATATTTTTGTTAGTTTTATAATATTTTTAGTATATTAATAAAAAATATTATAATACCATTAAAAAACACTATAAGTGAGCCAGATAAATCACGTATTAGTTGTAAAAACACTGGTTTGATCTTATTCTTATATATCTATTCACAAATAATCAATCTTCTTGAAACCTCTTATAATTATTTAACGATATATATATCAAAAAAAGTGTTAGAAGAAATATTTAATTCATGATATACAAATAATTATTTTAATAAATACTTAAATATATAATATAAATTCTACATATTTAAACGATGGCATGACAAAAGATCTAAAGTGATCATGATCTAAATTTTTCATAAATGCCCACTAATGTAAATATCATTCTTGAAACACATGAATGTAAATACAAATGTTTTTGAGTTATATATTTGCGCAAAAATGATGTTTATATATTGTAGATAATTTAATTTTAAAATGTAAATCGTGCTAAATGAGTTACACTTATAATATTCCATTGCGATTAGCGTCTTATTTCCAACCTATGCCCTAAAACGAAGGCGGCATCGCCTCCGCCCGTCCCTCCCGTTCTGACCACACTCCTGGGTCTCAACAGTGAGTTTTGATCTCCTCCCCCTCCATAATTGATTCGATTACATAGTAAAGGACTGGATTTTGGGATCTGGTTTGCTCCGCGGGAGTTCCCCTGATTTGGTTTGCCCAGATTTTTCTGGTTTTGCTTGTCACATAAGATCGGGATAGACTTTCGTGTTCTTTCCTTTAATTTGTTTGTTTTTCTTCGGTTGAAGGGATATGATAGTTGTATGTCGACGGTAATGATTAAAGTCCGACTCAAATTTCAGTGCCATTCTTCGCTTAATTGGCGTTTTTGTTTCAAAAGATCGGATTTTGCTCATAAAAATGATGACTTCGTAACATAACTTCGTAGTATAAGCTTGGTTATGTGGGATTTGAAACATACCGGGTTAATAGGCTTTCGAAGTGTCTCAGGATAAAGAGGAGATTGGATGGCACAATGTTTGTTTGCGTCCAATCTATCTACAGTTGATTGGTCATGAGGAAAGAGATGTTCTTTGGTTGTTCATCCTTCCCTGGAAGGATTGGTCTCAAAGATTTATTGTGCGTGTTGTACATGCTCAATGTCATAGTATATTTAGACCTCCATTTCTATGTCTTAATGATTTTGATTAAAGAAAACTAACCACATTTCAGGATTCTTATCCAGCTTCACGCTAGGAAATAAAAAATCGTATGAAATATCATTGTTGATAACCGTCACTAGGTTTGTAATTAACAACTGTTCCTGATACACCATTGTTGGCATGTAATGCTGGTTTTGAATTTTTATGATTTTTGTATGTACCTTTGCTTTGTATCTCAGCCGTATTTACTATATATATTATGTTAGGAAACTCTTGCAGTATGTCATTCTGGCGTACATCCACGTTGGTGACTTTGGTCTCTTCTTGAGAAATTAATGAAGAGAACATGTGGAATGGCATAGAAACATGCAATGACATTGAATCGTTTAATCTATCACTAGACTACTAAGCGCTTATGCAAGTCATTACTTTTACAGGCAACTTAGTTGAATTTAGGGTTCATAGGAAGAATCACAAGAGAATTTGTATAGACAATGGGTTCACGAGGTGCCAATGTTCTGCTTTCCAGAGCTAACAGAATCAGGCAAAAGCTGCAGTCTGGTCTGGAAGCAAGTGTTTTGGAAATTGAAGATGTTTCATATCAGCATGCCGGTCATGCAGGTGTTCAAGGAGATGCAAATGAGACTCACTTTAACATTAAGATTGTCTCTTCAAAGTTTGAAGGGCAGACCCTAGTGAAACGTCATCGAATGGTATATGAACTTCTAGGTGATGAACTGAAATCTGGACTTCATGCTATCTCCATTGCTGCAAAAACTCCACAAGAGTCAGGGTCAGCCAATGTCTAGTTCAAGGGCACAGAGACAATTACCAACCTTGTAATGAATTAATTACATTTACATGACTTGCACATTCTACATTATGAATTAAGCCCATTGTACTTTGTACTTTGTTGTGAAGGCCTTATCAGAATTTTCATGACTTTTACTTGGCATCACAATTTGGGTCTTTATTATGATTCTATCGGATAAGTACATGTGAGGCAAATTCTTTTTTCCTGTAATTGCATTTACATCATATGCCAATTCTTACCTAGCTATGGTAAAACATGTCACATTTGAACTTGATGAAATGATTTTTGTAAGAATGTTGGGAGAGCATGGACATGATTGGTAGCTGTTTTCTTAATGTTCTATTCTGCAATATGTAATTAAATAGGTTGGTTGCGTGGTGGTACGAATCCAACTCATTACATATCATTTCTGTCATGCTGTCTTTGTTTACTTTTAATCTTTGAACACATTATGATTTTCAAAACTTGTAAGCTTGAAGTACAAGGAGATTACCAAAGGGACATCCATGTAGCTCTTACCTGATGAAAGAACCAATATTTCCTTGTCTTATTATTACCTTTATTGTTTACGAGGAGCGATTGGTTTTTTTGCTTTTGAAACATGTGTTAATTGCTACACTACACTCCAGTTGTTATTTCTCTCTAATTATTTGATCAGTTCTTATTTTTCCTATTATCATAATGTTTTTCTGCAGTCTGTTGTTGATACATTTTTCTGCCAGTTCAACACTGGCACAATATACAGGTCCATATTGTGCCATTATAGGTATTGTCTGCATGCCTGTGACAAGGCAATCCGGAGCATCTCATAGACTCATGCCAACCCACTGTGGGACAGGAACCAATTTGCTACGCAAAACACATCAGCAAATGATATGGGACTCCACACAAATTTTGTCGGGTTGTAGAGTGAGAGGCATGAGCACAACATGAACACTGCTTCAGTAAAAACACATGGTGCAATTGCATGGGGATGGATGAATTTGCTGGAACTTGTTAAGAGTAGATTAATCGTTTCCGCATAACCAGGCATCGATTAAATATTAAGTTGTGCTTGAAGAAGTTCGAAAAAGTATACGTTTCAACATGACTTATTTTTATCTTAATCTTGTCCAAATGGACCAGCTACTTAGTCCAAGTTATCTAAACAGTTCAGTTGTTTCAGGGATTTCAGGTGAAGTCATAGCACTTCAGTTTCGGATAGATCAGAAATCATCAATGTTGATGAGTTAGATGCCATTTTACATGATGAGTCTCCTTTCTTTGTTGAGTTGGAACGAGTTCTACAAGAAGGGCAGAGAGGTTTGGGCGAGTTGCGAGGTGAAGTTAAGATGATGAGAGAGAGAGAGAGAGAGAGAGAGAGAGAGGGAGAGAGAGACACACCCAAACACACTCTGGATTGCCAGACACGGTAAACAAAAGGATGGATGCCAACTTCACGATAGTAGTAAACACGCATCCCTTTGACCGAGCTCTCAATATCCATCCCAGATAAGATTTCGATCGCAGAGACCCTAAAGATGGCGGTGGCCAGGAATGCGCCCGAGCCCCTGCTTTCATGGCGCGTCAGACCTTTGTTTGATCTTCTTGGACGACCAAGCGAAGAGGAGGTATAAAAAGGAGCCGAGCCACCAGCGTTATCGTGGAGCCCAAAAGGGAAGCAGAAGTAAAACTCTTGCCTTCCCTCGTTCACCACAGAGACGGAGAGCTTGCGCTGAGATGGCAGGTGGTGGGTTAGCGCCCTCAAATGGCGACGTGAAGCACTACAATGGCCGTGTCACATCCTTCGTGATCGTCACTTGCGTGATCGCGGCCACCGGTGGCCTAATCTTCGGCTACGACATTGGCGTCTCGGGTGAGTAATTGGTGTCTACATATGAGCCTATTTTGGATGACCGAGAACGTACGTGTGGGTTTGTCTGATTGCTGATTTGATGTCTCTGTTTCTTTGTAGGGGGTGTGACTTCCATGGATGAATTCCTTGAGAAGTTCTTCCCATCGGTGTACCAGCAGGAGAAGACGGCCAGCGGGTCGAAGAACCAATGGTGCCAGTTCGACAGCCAAATGCTGACGTCCTTCACGTCGTCCCTCTACGTCGCGGGGCTCATCTCCACCTACTTCGCGTCCATGGTGACGCAGGCATTTGGCAGGAAGTCATCCATGCTGTTCGGCGGGGCGGCCTTCCTCCTGGGCTCAGCCATCAATGGCGTCGCCATGAACGTGGCCATGCTCATCATCGGCCGCATTCTGCTTGGTGTCGGCGTGGGGTTCGCCAACCAGGCCGTCCCGCTTTACTTGTCCGAGATGGCACCGCCGCAGCTCCGAGGGGCGCTCAACATGGGGTTCCAGATGGCCACCACCATCGGCATCTTCGTCGCCGGCCTTGTGAATTATGGCACGGGAAAGCTCCATGCGGGATACGGGTGGCGCATATCGGTGGCCCTTGCTGCCGTGCCGGCTCTCATCATGACCCTTGGTGCCATCGCCCTCCCCGACACCCCCAACTCCCTCGTCGAGCGTGGCCTGCGCGACCAGGCCAAGGCCACGCTTCAGAAGATCCGGGGGACCGACGACGTCGAGGCGGAGCTGCAGGACATGATCGAGGCGACCGAGGAGGCGAAGAAGGTGAGCGACCCTTGGAGTAGCATCCTCCGCCCGGAGCACCGCCCGCATCTCGTCATGGCCATCGCCATCCCCATGTTCCAGCAGCTCACCGGCATCAACGTGATCATGTTCTACGCGCCGGTGCTCTTTAAGACCATCGGCTTCGGGGACAGCGCCTCGCTCATGTCGGCCGTCATCTCCGGCCTCGTCAACGTCTTCGCGACCACCGTGTCCATCGCAACCGTCGACAAGTTCGGCCGCAGGATCCTGTTCCTGGAGGGCGGGATTCAGATGGTGGTGAGCCAGGTGGCCGTCGGGGCCATCCTGGGGACCTTCTTCGGGGATGCCGGCACCGGGAAGCTCTCGCCAGGGTTGGCCAACCTGGTGCTGGCGCTCATCTGCGTCTACGTCGCAGCGTTCGCGTGGTCGTGGGGGCCGCTCGGCTGGCTGGTGCCCAGCGAGATCTTCCCGCTCAACATCCGGTCGGCGGGACAGTCGATCGTGGTCGGCGTCAACTTCTTCTTCACCTTCGTCATCGCGCAGCTCTTCCTCATGGCGCTCTGCCACCTCAAATCGGGTCTGTTCCACCTGTTCGCTGCCTTCGTGGTAGTGATGACATTGTTCGTCGTCTTCCTGGTGCCCGAGACGAAGGGCGTGCCCATCGAAGAGATGACTCTGGTGTGGAAGAAGCACTGGTTTTGGAAGAAGTACATGCTCGACGACCGCATCACGCCATCGGAGCACCGGCGAGAAGACTGACGATGTCATGCATGAGTCTCTGTTTGCTGATATGAGAGAAACAAACAACACAGGTTGTGTGTAGTCCACAAAAAGTGTGGCCTCATACGTCCTCAATTTTCCCAGATACAATTATGTATGTTTACAATCTATCAGTAACAAGGTTCGTGGTGGAACTGTGCCTCCTTTCTTTCTCCCAACTCTCTTGTGTTTTGAATTTAAATGTGTCTTGTGATCTTCTACACCTCTGCTCTTTGTCTCCCACATCTAATTATGTGCATCATTACACACAACAAATGAGAGATTAAGTTCAATTCTATTCTGCACCCATATAACAATGTTTAGGCCATTATTAGATTCCATCATTTGGACCATTAATTGAAGAAAAATCTACTACTAGGGAGGCGACAACCCAACCAACGAAAGTAAATTTTGACAAATGATAAGGCTTACGAGGGAGGCACTTTAAGGTATCCCTATCATTTGTTCTCTCATCCCAACCCAACCAACCCTACTTCTATTAGTTTGTCTATCTTTTTACTATTTATTTATTATCGATCACTTTTTTATTTTATACTTTTATTTTACCGGTCATGTCTTAGGAGAAATGTTTGAGTAATGCTAGACTATGTCTAGGTTGATTCCTAATATATCTTTTGATAATCATACAAACGCCTTGATATTCTCATTAAGAAAACTGATAAGTTATACTTGTTCTTCCTTGGGAAGTATTGTCCCGATCTTAACAATTTAATCGAGATAGGTTTTATCCAAGGGTGTCTCGATCATTGATTCCACTAGCTCCGAGTGTAAGAGGAATTTGGCAAAACTTCGAGAATCCATACGTAGTGCCTCAAATCATGACTTCTTCGGTAAGGCGATCATCGTAAGGTAGCATTAGTGTGACTTTCGCGAGTTGCTTCTCAATTCTCTAATGTTAGTTCTCGTCGGAAACTTCATTACCATTTGGTAGGTTAACACTATTGCCCTTAGCCTATTCAATGTAGAGTGTCCTATGATTACATTATATGCTGAGGGAATATCGACTATTATAAACTTGGTCATCACTAGTTTAGAGTGTGACTCAATCCCAAATGTGACGTATAGGTTCACAATCTTAGGGGGCGAGGGCGTAGGGGGTGAGAGGGGAGGACAAGTGATAGGGGATACCTTGAAACATACCATCCTTATTTGGTTATATCCCAAGAATGCATCTATAAACGTGAGAAGCTCATGACCTGAGATAATGTCGACCAACTGATCAATACGAAGAAGAAGATAAATGTCCTTATTAACACATATCCTTCGGTTTCCATTAGATTTTTTAGTGAGTACAATATTAGCGAGCCACCTGGGGTATTATACCTTAGTGATAAACTCTACTCCTATTAGCTTGTCTATCTTTTTACTGATTATTTATTATCAATTATGAGTAAACTTGCTAGACTTTTATTTTACTAGTCATGCCTTAGGAGAAATGTTTGGGTAATGCTAAGCTATGTTTGGGTTAATTCCTAATATATCTTTTGATAACCATACAAACACATCGATATTCTCATTAAGAAAACTGATAAGTTGTACTTGTTCCTCCTCGAGAAGTATTGCCTTAACCTTAACAGCTTAATCGAGATAGGTTTTATCCAAGGGTGCCTCGATCAATGATTCCACTGGCTCTGAGTGTGAGAGGAATTTGGCGAAACTTCGATGATCTATAAGCAGTGTCTCAAATCATGGCTTCTTTGGTTAAGAGATCGTCGTAAGGTAGCATTAGTGTGACTTTCGCAGGTTGCTT